ATGGAAAAATATTTCCTTTTTAACTGCTCTCGAATTTTTCTGTTTTTAGTGTTAGTAAACTAGTGTTAAGTGGCTATCTTGGAGAACTTTATGAAGCACTTTAGTTATTTTCAGTCATTGTTAATCTTGTAGGAGAACAGTGCTAATGTTACCAGACCTCTTTCATGTGGAAAACTCTTCTGAGCTGTTGATTTCTCTCTTTTCTCTGACAGCTTTAATAAGGCTCTATATTCCATTTTTTCTCTATCTTGGTCAAACAGTTCTATGAAAACATGACGCAGTTTGAAATAGARCAATTCTCTCACCCGCATTTGTTTAAACTGAGTGTAAATGCGTTTGCACTTGTGTGCTGGACTAGAGAGATTTCAAGGTGAGAAGAGCAGGACTTGCACTGCTGGCCCTTCATCCCCACCTTTTGCTTCCTCTGTTTGAAAACTTGTTTCTTTACCAGGGGATAGATACCTGGGGAGCATCATTCTGAATCATTTCAGAAAGATGTGCTAGAGGTTGTCTGTTAGCATGCCAGTGTGCCAGGCTATATTTTTAGTATTATTTTTAGTATTATTTTTAGTATTATTTTTAGTATTATTTTTAGTATTATTTTTAGTATTATTTTTAGTATTATTTTTAGTANTATTATTTTTAGTATTATTTTTAGTATTATTTTTAGTATTATTTTTAGTATTATTTTTAGTATTATTTTTAGTATTATTTTTAGTATTATTTTTATTACTTTTTCCTCTTGAATCTTGCTCTAGGCAACCAGGTAGGCTCACCCAGGCCCTGGTTTCATCCACATGAGAGGACTGAGGAATCCAGCAGGAGATGAGCTTGCAGCCAAGGCAAGTACTGCAGGGCAAACGTATAGAGAAGTCTTATGAGGTCACAGGTTTGGCTGTAAAGGTGAAATCCCAAATGAATCAAAATACACATAAATCAGGGAAGGAAACATTTTTGACACTTTTTTTAACTCTTTTAATAATAATTTCGTTTTCTATGTACAGTTTATTTTAAGACCAAATTTACTTTTTCTTGGTAGGTGGGATACTCTTTGGTCAATAAGTTATTGAATATTTGCACAGTTCCTCTTGTTTTAAGCTGAACTATATTCCTGCTGGTGACAACTGTGACTAGGTAGGGTCAGCAATGTAAAAAAAAARARAAAAAAAAAAWCAGAGACTTTATGCCAATTGTAGGCCCAGTCCTGTCCTGAGTGCCTTGCCATTCTTGGTGACCTCTCTGCTGCTGAACGTTTTACAGGAGCAAATCCAACATTTATTGATATAGTGGAGCTGAAAATACTGCCACCGAAGAGAACAAAATCACTTGATGATTTAGCTTCTAGCAGCATTCCCAGGAATGTACTGAAGTTGTGCACATCTGCTCTCAAACAGATTCACAGACTGAATGTCTTTTTCAGAGATCTTCCCTCTTTTTCATGATAATCTGTCTGATCAAGGATGCTACTTCTGGCTTGATAGTTCCTATGGGTTCTTCAGGTCTCCAGAATTTCACAACTTTGCCTTCTGGGTTGACAAGATATTTCCAGAAATTCCATCTAGGCTCTTTCTTTGAAGAATCTGTAAAAGTGGCATCAGATCACTTTAATACTGCCTTAAGCTTAATACATCCTTAAGGTCCCTTTCTCTGGCCAATTCTATTTCTTTTAATCCCACTTTGCTCTCTGCTAACACTCTGGACCTGAGCTTCCTGGTTGGCATTAATGATCTGAAAAGTGCTACCCTCTGCATGATGCTCTTGTATTCTGCTGAAGGTGCTGAAAAGTTTCTACTTTTACTCAGTTCTGCTTTCTGTGAAGGAGCATGTGGGGGGAAATCAGGGAATCCCCAGTGCTAGGTGGGTTTAGGTGGAAAAGTGGGAGCAGGAGGCGCTGRTGGCTGCGGCAGCCTCCTTGATCTCCTTCCCGCCCATGATGCAGAATGTATGGTGGTGTTGCTGTAATGACCTCCTGGCAGTTTGTCCAGAAATAGCATCAAGAAGCTAGATGGTTCCCAAGGAAACTGAAGCATTTTCCTGATTCTGCCTTTATCCTGGAGTGTTTTAGTGGTCCCAGGCAGGCAGAGCAAGTCTTGCACTCTGGGAAGAAGTAGGAGAAAACTGCAGGAGGTCTTGATGAGGGGAGAGGCATGCGGTAGGGAGCAGTGCTGAGGCCTACACTGATTTTCGATTGAGAAGCAGTGTGCTCAATTTTCACAATTACAAAATTCGTAATATCATGGCTGTAAGTATTGGGAGTGGTAAAACTCTCATCATGGAGGCTCTGACCCAACTAGTAATTACAGCTTTGCTGAACTGTTACATGTAGGGTCAGTCTTGAGGTAATGTAATCCCATAGAATCKCAGAATCCCAGAATGGTTGAGATTGGAAGGGACCTSTAGAGATCATCTAGTCCAATCCCCCTGCTCCAGCAGGGACACATAGAGCACAGGGTGGCGTCCAGGCAGGTTTGGAAGGTTTACAGAGCCTTCTCTGTAGGGAAACTCCACAACCTCCCTGGGCAGCCTGTTCSAGGGCTCTGTCACTCTCACAGTAAAGAGGTTCTTACCAACTATCMCCATGTCTGAGTGTTCTCACAKTGTKCCTTRGTGTTTACGAGTACCCCTAAGTGCATATATACGTAGGAGCTGGAGATTGTTCTAGGAAAGGTAAGGAAACAAGCCTTTCTCTGGACCAGCAGAGCATCTTACAGCTCTGAAGGCGGTAGGATGTAGAGCCATGTGAAGGCCCTGGCACCGTGTTTGTGCTCCCAGTGATAATATGCAAGTACCTAACACGTGTCTTTAAGGATGTGGCAAGAAGCAGTGAGTCTAAGTGGTGAAAGAAATCATTGTTTAGGTGAGCAAATAGCTCTCAAACAAAGAGTTTTGAAGAACAGGAATAGACTGGGAAGTTTCRGAGGCTTACTATTCTAGAAAAGCACCTTTTTGTACTGGGTTATGATCCTGAGTGGGGCAGGGAKATGGAATAGAATTAGGGGGTCTTCTCACACCTTATTTGCTAGTTTAAAAAAAAATGATGGAGAAGGGTTGTGGTTTATGAAGACCAAAGCTAAGGAAAATTCAGAAGTTTTTTGTTTGTTTGTTTGACTTTGAATCTGTGAATTTTGAATTATTGAATCTGAATTATTTTGGTCAAGTGAATAYATACAGTCTCATTTCTCTTATGAGAGCATGAGGCTTTTAAGTCAGTAACTGCCTGATATAACAGGAGTCTGGAAAATTTGCATTCTTTGCACTCAGACTTGTATGTCCACAAAAGAGATTTCTAGCTGGGCTAGTCACAGTAGATTTCTTATCATCAGTAGGGAGAAACAGGTGCTTTCAGGCCACAACTCTAAGTCTTTTTATTTTATTTACTTATGGTATCTACTTTAAAATGAGAGGAACTATGTTCAGAGAGCCTACTTCTCTCTGTAGACAAGGAAGACTGCAATGGTGGTTCAGATTAGGCTGGATTAAAYCCAGACTGGAGGTTGGGGAGATACCACAGTTACAGGCAGCACAATATAGAGAAGAAAACAGTTACCTATTAGAAACCTGAAGGCTGGCTCTGCTTCCGATCCTAGAATCTTGATTTTGTGGAAAACGGGGAAGGTGACTCCGTAGTTTCCTCTGGCGAAAGATTCTATTTCCTGGCTGGAGCTGGGCTCGGATTCCCCGAACTGGTTGCAGGGAAAAGCCAGCACGGAGAAGTGGGAGGGACCGAACTCTCTGTGCAGCTCTTGCAGCGCGATGTAGTTTTTGTCTGTGTGTTGGCAGTAACTCGCCACGTTTACAACCAASGTCGCCTTCAGAGAAAGAAAGGTGGACTGCTTAGAAAGGAACTAAAGATGGCACAGGGATTTCAATCCAATCTTCGTRTAGTATATTCAGTGTCTCAGGGGTTCAGAAAACAGTAAGCAGCTRAAAATACTTTTTTTAATGAAACCTCCTGTTTAGAAGTCTTATAAATGGATTAATTGCTTCTAATTATAGCTTTGCTTAAAAATAAGCATGCAAAAAGCATATGCAAGACTGACACTAAAGTCATCTTATATTTATTCGGCTACAGAAGTTCAACACAACGTACTGCCCTTCTTGACTAGCATTGATAAGATGCACAAATTCCACCGTTAACCCTATGGATTTAAAAAAATACAGTTCTTCATTGTTGGTTAATATTATTTATTTTGGAATTTGTATTATATAGTATTTATATTATATAGTATATACCAGATACTTAATGTTCTTGTTCTTTTATTTAACATTCTTTACTATAGTTTATCCTTAATTCTTGAGGCAAGCCTAAAATACATTTCCATCTAGCTTATAGTTTACATTATAAATTCCCATAAACTTTCCTGCTGCCTACAAGTGGATATAGCTTTCAGTAAAGATTCAAGACAAAGGTATAAGGAAATTGTAACTTACTTTCCCTCTGTACTTTTCCAAGGAAACAATCCTTCCTCGTGAATCTTTGACTTGAAAAGAATAAAAATCTTTGCTTTTAGCCTTAAAAAATTTGAGCTGCAGTAGGCAGAGCACTGCAGTGCACAAAACCATCGACAGAAAAACAGCCAAGACCCTGGCTTTGGGCATGGAATGCTTTAAAGGATAAGTAGTTGTGAGAGGCTCCATTTTCCGGTGCGTTGGAGAGGAGCCTGCGCAGGCCCGGAATGCGAAGGAGGAGCTGAAACGTGAAACTCGMCGCTGCCCGGGCTGAAATGATCCAGCTGCTCGTTTTGTGCCTGCCGCAGAAGGGATCGTTTCCCTTCGTGATGCCTCTGCTGGACCTCGGGGCCCTCAGCTCCTCACGAAATGTCCCTCACCAGGGGGAAAAGAAACAAATGAGAAGTGCATATCCCATCACATAAAAGATACAGATTGCCTTATTTGACTGACTTAACATGCAATCACTTCAGTATTTAAGTCATCTTGAGAACTGGCTCGGGCCTCCCTTGTGGATGTGTAAATGCWTCTCCAGCACATCGTTGGCACCCATGTTACCAGGCAGGACGAGCAGCTTGAGGCCAGCGTTTCGGGTAAGAGGAGGGCAGGATGGCAGAGCCTGCCTGGGGGCTGCATTTTTTTCTGCCCTCATTGGCAGCCCTGTGGCTACAGGCAGTGTCCACACATTTGTAGGGGCTTTTTGGTTGAAGCACTGGCCAAAATAATGGCCTTGTTTGCAGGCTAGTGTGAGGGAAGAAGATCAAATGATTTTTTTTAATAGGGAAAAAGGACTGCAGAATATATGATAGAAAGTCTATGTATGTGTGTGTGTGTGTGTGTGTGTGTGTGTATATATATATATATATTTAACACTGCTGACCAGGTCTGCTGAGAGGTGAAGAGTTAGCTCCAGAGAAGAGGTTATGGCCTGAGGTTCTCAGCCCAAGCTAGATGTCCCCTTGCAGTGCTATTTTGCTGAGGAAAATGTGAAAGGAGTTCTGAACTTTGAAACCCTCTGTTATGCATCTTCTCTGCCTACCTCTTAATGTCTTCTAGAGATCTGAAGATCTGTTTCTTTATATATAAGGATTTTCCCCCCCTGCTAGAGCACTTGCTGTCTTCACTTGTTGCTCTTTGGTATCTGAAGAGACATTTCGGATATTAATATATAGAGATGACAGCACTGAAGGAACAGATTTTTTTTTTTCTGTTGTTCATCGTGTCTTCCCTTTTCTYATCTTCCCTTTTTCTCCCTGACCATTTGTTTTTCCCCCTCACTCTCTCTGTGAGTGCTCTTGACTTTTGGTATTTGAATGAGTGTTAAGCAAATCAGTGCAGGAATCCAGAGCATAAGTCATAATGTTGCATTTAAGGTAATTGCTTGATATTATTCAGACTCTCYCAGTTCGAATTTTGATACATTTTCATGTTTAGAGGGTTTTTGTTTGGTTTTTTTTTTTTGACATCTGTTTGCTTAGGGATTGCTGTATGAATGGATTTAAAAGTAAGAAATGTGAATAGCATTTGATTTTAATATAATATGCCTTTATATGTGCGTGTGAAGAATAAGGCAATCAGGAATAGTAGCAGGGATTCACAAAGGGGTTAGGAGGAAAAGTGTAAGGTACCATCAAAAATAAGATGTTACCTTCCCTGCTTTTCTTCTATCTCTTTTATTCACCCAAGGTCGTTGCCCATAKATTCAGCGATACTTAACTGACTCGGATACAATTTTAGCTTTGTGGATTTTTAAAAATTTATTTTATTTGTGTGTGTGTGTGTGTTACTTTGTATAACAAAGAGAGAAACTGTATCTCTTCAGTGTTATGGGACAGGTAAATCCAGTTGTTCACCATGTCAGGAAACCATGTCCTTTAGYGTGTCCTGAGATGAGGCAGTTTGCATAAAAGTAAGTGAATTCACCCATATTTACACCTTTTTGATGCAAAAGGTTCCCTATCTGAGCTCCTTATTTGAGCATCGCATACTTGTCATTCCCCTCAGGAGTATGTCTGTTTATTTTCTGAACTTGCATTTACCTCAGTTCAGATTCTACTCTGCTTTTGGTGGTAGTTGTGGGCTAAGAGAAATGCGTTTTTCAGGGTGTGCTCCTGCGTCCTGATGCTGTAGGATCTGTGAGGAGAAGTCGCCCGGCTCTGGGCACGGCAGTTGCCATCCCTTGTGTGTGGGATGGAGACCAAGACCCYACTGGGGCTGTCCCTGCTTCCTAGGGGCTGCCCTGGGCAGGGGGTTGGTTTCCCCAGCAGCTCTTGGAGCTTTCCTCTGCTTGAGGAGCATTTTTGTGATGTGCCACTGCGATGCAGAGGGGCACAGCCAAGCCCTCTAACGGGCAGTGTAGAGGGACAGGACAATATAGAGTCATGGCTGATTTCGGTGGTTTGGATCTCTTCCCTGCTGCAGAGCCCCAGCTYCGGGAGCACCTCGTACTCCAGGTTTAAGAGCTCCATCAGGAAGAAGCTGACAGCCAGGGCCCCAGTGGYAAGCAGCCCTGTGGTCACCAGATGGCAGCAGCTGCCCGCGAGAARCAGCACGGAAGGGCTGCCCAGAGGGGCAGCCTGGCAGCAGGAGCTTGACCCAGGAGCCTCGGGGACCCCTGGGCCCCTGCACCCACCTGGGAGGGCACCAGGTCAGTGAGAGGGCATGGGCAGGGTGGTGGTGAGGGAGGGTGCGCTCCCACAACGGGCACGGTGGTGATGGAGGGTGGGCTCCTGCAATGGGCACGGTGGTGATGGAGGGTGGGCTCCCGCGGTGCTGCTGGCACCGGGGAGGCTCTGGTGTGGTGTTGTCCCCTGTGCTCGTGAAGCTCCGGCTGTCATGTGCCATGCAGTGCACTCAGTCTGCATGGACATTCACAGAGGGAGCTCAGGGCCACCTGCATTTCCATGGAATTATGTTGCTCCTGTGAGAGGAAAGCCAGGCCCAAGCTTCCCGTTGCAGAGCTGGCTCTGGAGGAGGCTGTTTCTCTCCATGAACAACAGAGGGAGCTGAGGAAAGATTAAAGTGAGCTTTTGAATTTACTGATTTAATTTCACCAGTGCTGAGGGAAAATGAATAAGGATTTACACATATGCATGCATATACAAGAAGGAGTTTTCTGGAGGAGCTGTGGGATTAAGTAAGGCTCCAATTTCTCCATTAATATGGGAAACTTAGGCAGCAAATAAAAGATGCTCTTTAGTGTTCAGGATATGTTCTTACCAGGCCATGGCTTCTGGTCGTACTCAAAGTGCAATACTGTTTTAAATCAGAATGTCCCAGCTGTTCAGCAGTGTATGTATTCATTCAATTATAAAGGGCGTGGCTGATCTGACCCTTTTCAGACCTTCCTTTTAGAATGAGGTGAGTAGTGCTAGAATTGCCAACTTTTCTGTACTGACAATAGAGGGAAACCAATGTGTCTAGCTCAAATATCACAGTTGTCCCACTTTGAGTGTGTCATATCTCCTTTTCCTATGACAACTAGCGTTTCTGTGAAATGAATGCTGTTCTGAAAAGTACTTGACAAACATCCCTGTATATTTTTAAATGAACTATTTCATTAACATTGGTTTTGCAGTGTCGTCTCAGGTGACTAACAAACTTTCTGTCAAGAAGACTGGTGTGACTCTAGCAGGCTTAAAGTGGAGAAATACCAGCAGAGCTGAAATGAGACAGGTGAGTAAAGCAACATTGAGGTGCACAGGTAGGAAATTTGCCTTCATTATGTGTTCTTACATGTTTTTGACCTGGAATCCCCTATGTATGTGTTACATTATTAACACAGAGAACAGTAACAAGAGGAAGAAGCATCTGCTAGAGAATTATAAGGAACAATTGCTTTGCCACTATTTGGTTCAACTTCTGTCCACTTCCTACAAACTATTGCAAGTTAAAATTGAAACCAAGCTAATGAAGCCCTCAAGATCAGTTTGTTACCTCTGAGGGAAAACGTGTATTATGAAAAATACGCATGAAAAACAGGAGTGACTCAGTTTTCTACTTGCCTTAATACCACTGTGTGAAGATCACTTCTGCAGTTGTGCAGGGTATAGCCATTCATTTTGTCACRTAGGCAGAATGAGATGCTAGGAACAATTTTCTAGAAATAAAATCTTAATGTGACAATGTCTATCTGTGAATAAAATCTTAATCATGACAATGCAAGGGAAGGGTCATGTGGTGATTCTTWAGGATTCATGGCAGTGGTGGAAGATGTGGAATCTGCTTGCAATATGAAACAAACTTCAGAGCTTGAGGTGCTAAAAAGTGAGACTGCAATTAAGGAGAGACAAATCTTGGTAAATGGAAGGAAAGAAGCATTTGGTGCTGATCAACTAGGCAGGCATGCTGGCTTTGCTTACCAGTGGATCCCATAATGTTATACTGATTGGTGCATTTTGTGGACTAATGCATCTTTTGAATTTTAACGGCTTTCTAGATGAAATTAATGGTTTGAAATCAGTTATTCCCTTTTAGTTTTTTTGTATATGTTTTGCTGATAGACGCTGAACTTAAAATTCTTTTTTCGCCTCTCCAGGCTTTACCTTTTCCTTTTTACTCATCTTACACACCAACCACTCATCTGTTTCTGTTCACTAATTTTTTGAAATCGGCTTATTTTGTGAAGTAGTAATACTTGTCTGTGCTAATAAATGTTACTGCTGCACTCTGAAAATAAAAAAAAAAAAAACACCTCCCTCTTCCAGTGCTCTCTGCGACTGGTCATATATTAAGCTGTAAACTTTTAGTCAGTGTCCACTCTTTATCCCAGCTTGTGCTGTCCTCTCCTTGATGGCAGCAAGGTCACTACAGAAGTACTGCTAGCCATTTCCATGTGGTTACTTCTCTGGTTATGACTGCTGAGCAGGGATGCTTCACAGTTGCATATTTTGTGGCTTGGGTTATAATATTCATTAGTATTACTGAGAAGATTCAATAGTTGTAAAGCATTTTTCCCTACTTAAATCGGTCTTTTGTAAAGACAGCAACATGCACTATTTTCTTTAATGCATGAAATACTTGCATAGAATCACCCTGTGATTGACATGCAGAAGTTGAATTCGAGTAAGGTACTCAGAGTCCTACACCAAGGACCACACARCTTCTCTAAGTGTGATCTTGGTGTCTTTGAGATGATATCATGGGATGACCAAAACCAAAGTTCTGCCTAAAACTATTTGGAATGGTCAGTCCTGCCTAAAACGGTAAGGAAATCTGTTAATCTTTTCAGAGTTAGTAATTAGTTTGTCCTGCCTGGTAGCATAAAGGGGTGGGGTGCATTGAAAATAAAGCCTCCTCACATTCCAGTGAACTTGTGTGGTCTTTTGTGGGCCAAAAGATTACTTCCCTATGTACACAATAATTTTCCACAGAAATGTCTGCACTTACTTTAGAGGGATACAGATCCAAACAATCCTGATTAGCTTTCTGCCAAGTTGTCAATATATATCATGGAGAAAGAGCCTTTTGGAGCTGTAGACCAGCTGAGATATGTAAAGGAGAAACACTTCTTTTAGTTATGTTTTTCTGTGAGACAGTGCTTGTTATTACAACAGGGTTTTGAGGAAGAGCAACATTGGGTTTGCTTGGAAAGACATTTTGCAGACATTGGAGAAGGAACATACTGTTGATCTTGAGTGGCTGTTGAAAACATCAACTACATTTCCACCTGATGGAATAAAGAATTACAGACCAGACTGTTTTTGACCTCTTGACAAGTACACAGAAARACTGTCATCAGAGCATTCAACTTGGTGAATAAACATGATGAAGAAATGCGTTAATATTGGGGATGGATAAAGAGATTCGTAAAGCATACAGCTGATGGAAAATCATGGCCAAAGGCTACTTTTTTCTTTTGAATAYGAGGGAGGAGGAAAAAAACAGTAAGAAGTTTTCTCTTTCCTGTTTCATCTGCTTCTTTGATTCACAAAGAAAGGATARTCCGGTAAAAAAAATCTTATTTCTGAGATTTTGGTGTATGTATATAGATACACACATATGTATGTGTGTGTGCATCTATAAAGTATGCTTTGTAAGATATTTCTTTACTCACTCTGGTGTTTGCTTTGATTTATTGGCAGAAATGTCCTTCTCAGCTTTTGACAGACCAGAAGGTTGGATATAGCATTTCAGAAAGTGGTAGCATGAAGATCTGTGAAAATATTAACTGCATGTGGAAAGGTAGGTTGCAGTACTGGAAACACCCCCATGCACACTGAACAAGAAGCTATAGCAGGATGCATCAGCACTGGAAAAGAAACCTGTTCCAGCAAGCAGTGCTGAACAATTCAAAGTGGCCTGGAGCCACACTGCTTGAGGCTACTTCTAGAATTGCAGCTACCTCTAACATACAGTACTGCATCTCTACCAGTGTAGGTAGCTCTCAGCATTTTACATGACTCTCCCTTGGGCTCCATGGGACACCTTAGCGRCCCTAAAACATCAATATTAATATCCTGTCATTTTCTGAGTTTCAAATGCTAAAAATCATGCAGGCTTGTGCTGCAGACTGGACACAGGATATGTGACCAGTACTGTTGGGTACCTGAGAATACAAGACAGGAATAGTGCTGAATGAGTGAAGGGAGCAAAGCTGATCTCGGTTACTTGTGGAGAAAGACTGCTGAAGCAACTGTTTCTAGTACTGCTGTTTCTTGTAGCTTAATCTGGCAGAGTTAGTTGATTTGCTCCAGAAGAGCAATTCTGGGAATGAACTAGTATGCAGGGAAGGTGAATGATCAGTGGATCAGGAACCAGGTAGGACTTGGGAGCGAAACTGTTCCTAGCATTACTTGGGCATGAGATAGTTCATTAAATACCAGAACAGCCCTTGTTGTGTGTTCTCTTTGGACAGATGATTAGTCTTGGTGGCCAGGTTATTTCTGCCTACCTTGGACTCTTGCCAGTGAGGGCTGATTCAGGYTCCTGTGCTCAGTGAGAGTTTGTCTATGTGCATAAGTGGGGGTTAGTTTAATACATGCCTGATGAAGCAGGTCTGTGTCATCTGGCTGATCAGCAAGCCTGCTTTTGGAGTGCTGTGCTTGCAGACATGTCACCTGCACATCAGGAAACCCTCTCTAGATTCAGGTAGCTGATGGTAAGATGTCCCTCTAGGACTATTAATTTAGAGCCATAGTTTTAAAGATCTGACTTTTGTTTCTCACCTATAAATATGGAACCTTCTGGAAATGTAAGGAAGACAGAACTTTGTGGCACAGTTTGTTATGCAGGCCTGGGCAATTTCTGTCTGGGTKTAACTCCGTGTGGTGCCCTTAAAACTGATTGTGTAAAAACAGTGAGAAACTTCCTCCCTCCACCCTTTCACATACAGACCCATGTTTGGTCATAGTGCAAAAGAAATGAACATCTTCACCTTYGTGGACCTTGTGGTTTGCAATGTGACTTACTTGCCTAAGTCTTGCTGCTGTTAAGCGCTAGGTGTCCAGCTCTGCAAGCAAAATTCACAAACTAGAACAAGAGGTGCAAGTTTCTTAAACAGTAAATAGGGCTAAAAAAGTACATTCGAAAGTGCTTGACAGTGGGGAGCATGATGAGGAGGGTCACTCTTAAGTCAATAGGAAATACTGCAGAGAGAGCTGGCTYGCTCTTCTCCAAGTAATTTAAAATTGATGGAGCCTGAGACCAACCAGAATGAAGTCTTGATTCTTGTATGTGAGAAGAGCAGTTCATATTTTAGACAGTGAGRGTTAGTTGGGTAAAATTCATCAGCAAAATTTGGAATAAGGACCAGCACTCGAGTGCATCAGGGAAGTGTCCTTCTGTTAAACTAGACAGAGGTTTTCTGTTCTGTATTCTRTCTTCAATGACAGGATTCCTGAACCTGAGCTTTGTAAGGATCCAGGTTGCAGTAGTCATGGCAAACACTGTCCTCTTGTGCTTACCTAGGCCAAGATGGGCTGGTGATGAGGGCTTTCTTCTGGCCATTAGGTTGCAGATGAAAAGGACCTTAAAGTAAGATTTCTCATACTGAAGATGAGAAGTGTGCTTGATGTGATTGTGTTGATGATATGAAATGTAATCTTCTAGAACATGCTATTTTCAGGCCTTTTGCAAGGGCTGCACGGTTTGAAATTTAGGTGGACTTCAGAGGTAGATGTATTTAGTGTGTATGGAGACAGTGTTTTAGGCCTCTAAGCAAGTGTTTTGATGAAGACACAGATACCTGCAGGCACTAAAGTAGTTAGTCGTGGTTTTTGTGAGTTGCTTTGTTCTTCCATTATTCTGTTTTGATTCGGTGTTAGTTTGTCTTTAAATACAGAAAGTTAGTTATTATGTTAAATAATATTTCTGCCCCCAGAGCATTTGCTATTTGTTTTAAATGCTCCTCACTGGAGACATTTTCTGGAGAAAGTCAAAACACAAAGGAAAGTGCAGAAATATGCATCTGCTCTGCACATTACAGCAAGATAACTTTTAAAAACGTGAACATTATAAAATTCTTGTCGCTGACGGTCTAGCTCTTTTTCTGCAGTATTTAGTGGTCTTTGCAGCATTACGTAGACATGACCACAAAGGCTGATTCCTGGGCTTAGCAAGCTTAAGCTTGTTATTACTGGTATTTTACTGCTGTTTGCTTTTCTTTCTCACATACTCCCTGTCACAAACTTATCATGCTGTGATCAAAGTGGCTGTGCTTTGAAAACCTTTTCCTGTGGTTAGGTATTAGTGGGGGAGGCATTTTGATGGGAAATTAAAACAGCTAAAAAAAAATATAACTGTTCTGTGGGGTTTTGAGGTGGGACAGCGTGTAGAATGTTTGCTGTTAAGGACTTCTTTTTCGTAGAATTTTTGTTAGGTGAAATGAAATCAGTCATGCGATGGGCTGCGTTTATAATTTAAATACACTTGCTGGTATGTTATTGGACGCACTTATTCGGTGTTTTATTTGACTGAATTCATGGAGCTATGAAAGAGTTGAAAAAAGGCAACTTTTATTTACTTTAGTGTGCCTTGTGTTTGGGGTTCTTTAAATAAATTAGACTCTTCTGGCCTCTTCTCATGGACAGATAAGAGTATGAAGGACCTAGGCCTGTGGTGATTTGTGTTCCTGAAATGTGTGCTTTGAATCTTCAAACGCAGGCTGCCGAAAAGGGGCCCAGGATGAGTTTAGAGCTGTTACCACCACGAAGCTTTTCACACCATTGGAGCCAGAAGTGAGGCTTCATGTGACTGGCTTGCACAATGATTACTGTAAGTTCTTTTTACTTCTCTGCAGGGTTTATTGCAGGGGTTGGGAATTTTCATGTGTCTTTCAAGAAAGATGGCCACGATAGGTCCTGTGTGCAGCACTTGCACGTGGTGTCATTTCTTATAAATATGCATCTTTGAAAATTGTCCATCCCAGGATGTAAGGATGATTCCTCAAAGCCAGTGATCTGCAATACTTAACCCTCATGTAGTTTTGTTCTGTCTATGGATCTCAATATAACTTTCAAATCAAGCCAGTATGCTCACCCCTGCTTATTTCCATCGCCTACTACCCTCACTGACTTAGCACTTGTCAACATAGTGGCATCTTCATGGAGCASAGTTTAAAATCTGTTGTTTTGGGGCACATTGGTGACTGCAATTCAGGAGATAACTTCTGAATTGATTTCTCACTTACTTCTTTGGAATAGCTGGCAAAAATTAAAAATGCACAAGTTAAGCATGAACACACACAGGGTTATGTTTTGCAGTTCTATATGTGCAAGTATATGCACATATACACATATATATTATGTATATAGGTACATATACATATATACATATTTAAGGTCTCTATATACAAGTGTTAGAAATTGCCCTTGTGTATTTTTATGCAAAATGTTATTGCAGATGTTCGTTAGATGTATACCTATGAAAATGATACATGTTTGTTTATGCTCAGGTTGAGTTTGGACTCCTACCTGGTTGTGCAGGTGTGCCCCAAAAATAACAGCATTAACAGAAGTCTATGGCAATGCTTTTTGGAATATTTATTCCTAGTTACAACCAGTGGGGCCCTAACTAAACAGCTGACACTCAATTGTTCTTCAGAATGACTAGCTACCAAAGCATGATGTCAGACCTGTGGTATCATCTTCTGTGCTTCCGGAGTGCTGCAGAGTAATGCTAAGGTGCCTCAGTGAACAGCTGAGGATTTCTCTTCCCACAGGAAAGCATCCATGGTGKGAATGGAAGGTTGCATTCCAGCTCCTGCAGGCCTGTCTCGTGTAGCAGGCTGCTCAAGGCTGACCAGGGTGTGTGGTGATGTGTCAGTGCCGCGCACCTCACACCCAAAGCAGTGGAAACAGTGTTTTCAGCACACTTTACTTGCACACTTCTATACTAATAAGAAGCAGGTTTTCCCTAATTTAATTCTTTCCTGCTTTTTCTCTTGTATTATCTTGCAGCGTAAATGTTACTGCTAGCTTGAGGATGTAGGAGAACCTCTCGCATATCGAATCATTCCTGTGTGTAACTGTATTTGTGTGTTAATAACATGAGTTACCRCACAACAGGGGTGTTTCTGGAACTGTAGCTACTGCTGGATGATCCTCATTCCTGGTAGCAGAAATTGGTAAGAGTCACGTGGCCATCCAAAGTGAAGAGTGACAGGTTAAAAAATTCCAAGGAGTGGAAACTGCAAGTCTCATTSTGTTATACAAACTTAACAGCTTAGGTTGCCTTGGTGGACACCTTGGTGTGTCAGAGGTTCTCCTTCAGTTAGCTTTTCTCATTTGATATCCTCACTGAATAACAGCTAGTAGCAATCTCGTAGCAGTCTCTTTAAGTTGTCCCATAGATGTAAAAAAAAAAAAAAAAAAAAAAGTCCCTTCTATTTCACAGCAAAATAAGCATCTTTTCCCTTATTCCATTTTCTACAACTTTTCTGCCATAATTTTTAATAACTTTGTTGTAGATCTAAACATATTGGACTGGAACCATGAAAATCTCCTTGCCCTTGCACTAGGACCTGCAGCACATGTCTGGAATGGCAGTACCCTCCAAGGCCTTGAAAGCATTGATTTAAATTCCAGTTTCAAATACATTTCTTCTCTGGCTTGGATAAAAGAAGGAACCTGCCTTGCAATTGGTACCAGTGACGGAGAAGTGCAAGTACTAGGCAGTTTATTTTTTTAGTCTTTTTTCCAGTTTTATCTAAAGTGGCCACAAGACAATGCTTGTATATGTATATTGAGGAAATAACTCAAAAAGATTGGGTAAAATGCACAAAAAAAAAAAACCAAAACAAAACAAAAAAACCAAAAAAACTGTGCTGGAGACAGACAGCATCTCCCTATATCATGTTATATCTCACCAAAATGTCTTAGTGCTCTGAAGTATTACTTGTGGATAAGGTTGCCTCTGCAACCACCAGAGAGGCAATGACTGAATTAGTGATTCAACCTGTAATATCTTTTTCCAGTGGTAAGAGGGCCTCCATAGTAACATTATGTTGTCCACCAGRATTTGACTTCAATCAGATGATACAATTACCTCTCAGACAGCTGTAATAGGACAGTCTCGTTATCCAGAGATTTTCCTGGGATGTTGCCTGGGATGCTAGAAAATATGGGGGGTGACCTCATGCAGTCTTGAGTCAGAAGTCTGAAGGTACTCAGGCCAAGCGTGGATTTCCAAACACTGGCAGTTCAACAGATAACATTTGGGTATATACATTGCTTTTAATTCGTATGGGCTTCAGCATTAGTGATACAGGGACTAAAAATTTGATTTTTCCTTCATGTCTGAATTGTGAAGTGAGTGATCTTGAGGCCATCTGTATATCAAATCAAAGTAGAATGGGGGCTTACCTTTAAACAATTTAACAAAAAATCTTTTTTCCTCTTTGTTATATTTGTTGTTTGGTTGGTTGGTTTGGCAGCTGTGGGACATTGAAACGAAAAAAAGGTTGAGAAATATGTTTGGTCACCTRTCTGTAGTTGGAGCTCTGAGCTGGAATCATTATATTCTAAGCAGGTGAGTGGTACAAGATACTAAGAGAAAATCTTGCTGGTTTTATTTGGACAAAAGTCTTCATAATTTTAGTGATTTTCTCTTTCTTTGCTTGAAGGTGCTTTATTCTGTCTACTTACCTGTCTTTTCAGAAATCTTATATAGGTTTATTGCATGGCAGGGAAGCAGACAAAGAGAGTTGGATCTCCTCCTTAGTCCCTCTTACCAACAAGCTGTCACCGCCTGCAGAATTCCACTGGAAAGTGGRCACTTGACTCCAGTTTTGTGCTGAAATGCTGTTGCCTCCAGCGGGTCTGCACTCCAACCAGGTGGCTGGTGGTGTGGAGCTCGGGCTGTCCCTCCGGGGGTAGGAAGGCAGCATCTCCCCTTTCTGAGCCCAGGGAGACTCGGCTGCTATAGAGCTGCACCTAGAGCCCAGCTCTGTAGCTATGAGAAAGGCCAGGTCATTGAAACGTTTTGTATTTAGGTATCACCTCAATACGGAACCTCAGATTAGAATGATTTAACATACTTTCTGTTTTTGTTTTGTTCTGTTTTCTGGCCTTTGCTGGTTCATATCTTTTTTTCTGCCTTGAAGGACTCAGGGGAGACTGCTACTATTTTAAAGTCATGTGATGGTCTTATGTTCTGTTTAAACTCGGTAATAATAGCAAGGTTTGAATGATTTGAACTTCACTGTTAAACTCAAAATGAAACTAATGTCATCGGGCACACACACTGCCTGARAGGTAGTGTTGTTTTGATTTCACATTAAGAGCTAGAATTATGAAGAGCTCAGTTCATTCCCACTCTCACTGCTAGAGTGASCAAAGATCTCAATATGATCAGCACTAGTAATTAAAATCTGTTTCTGTCAGATTTCTCTGTTTATCATGTAATAGGACAAGTCTATATGAATTCCCCAGAGGCAAATGATGACAACTTAGAATTTTCCAGTGTATATATTTTCAATGAAGATGACCTTAATATTCACTATCAGAGAAGTTGTTTGGAATCTTTCATGCATTTATGGACTTCATTGGTCCCAAGACCTTGACTGGTCTGTACAAGCACAGTAGATGGAGACTATTTGATCAGTTCTGTGTGTGTGTCTTTGGAGCTTCTAAATTGCTTGGCTTGTATCTGAAGATTTTTAAGAGCTAGTATAGGAAAATCTCTAGTCATTATTGCTTTAAATATGAGATACATGGTTTTCACATGTCCAGAAAGTTGACAATMGTCTTAAGTTTCTCAGTGTCACAAACATGGATGGATGGAAGTGTGAATTGCCATTGGGAAGCTGTTTTGTTTTTGCTGTAGACTTAATGTAGGTATTAACCTTAGAAAGTCAGGAAAGGATTCATGTGCTTTAAGATGCTTTCAGTATCTTTTATTCAGCCCTGCTATTGATGTGTAAAACCTAGGACTAAGCTGTAACAGTAACTGTGCCTCCAAGCAGGACGTTTCTTCCTTCCTTGGGTAGACTGATGTTCTGGCTGTGGTAACCATGCGTAAATGGAGAGTGCAGCCTCTCAGACACAGCTCGTGCTCCCTATAGTGCATGAAGAAGAAATTGTCCCCCGGAGAGGCTCAGCCAGGAATCTATTTCCTAACAGGCAATTAGTGTGGCTAATTCAAACTGTGGCAAGTGTAGGGGATTGGTGCAAATTCTCCTTCAGCCTGGAAGTGGAAGGTAAAAAGGGAAAAGGAGGAAGGACAGAACCAGGGGAGATGTGACTCACTGAGCCCTTCCTGAGCAGTGTTATTATATCCTGCCTCATATTTGTGAGCAGAGTCACAGTTGGCCTTGGCAAAAATTCTGTTGCCAAAACAGTACTTTTATTAAAGAATAGAAAAAAAAAAAGTATGTTATATGTCTAACATTTAAACAAGGTGCAAATCAGCATTATATGTTGAAATATATCTTTGGAGAAATGAAAACTGTGATAGAGAAGGACTTTTCTGCCTGACCTGTACTGAGCAGGTGCTTGGYTCCTTTCTGTCAGCCACCTCTGCAGTCTGAGTGCGCTTCTGGTGCTGCAGTTTGTCTTGCTGCTTCAGTGTTGTGCTGGCCATATGTCCCCTCTGTGGTTTGCTTCTGAAACCAGTGAGGAAGCACCAATGTCACAATGCAGTTTGTCATCTTTGGTGTCAAATCCATGCTGTCTTTTCTCATCTACAGTGGTTCAAGATTAGGATCTATTCATCACCATGATGTTCGTGTTGCTCAGCACCATGTTGGGACTCTTTGCCAAAACAAGCAAAGCATTTGCAGCCTGAAATGGTCGGTGACCGACCAGTTGCTGGCAAGTGGCTCTAGTGGTGGAATATTGAATATCTGGCATAGTGAYCCTGGTGTGAAAGTGCAGTCACAGCCACTGAAAACCGTACCTCATTCCTCAGCTGTCAAGGTGTGTGGAGAAGGAAAGACTCCTCTTCTGTATCTGTTCTCATGAAATCATGATGCTGATGTAGACAACTGTGAAACTTCAGATGGACTCAGTGATTCCTGTTTGTTTCTTCYCCCCTTGTCATGAGGCAATTAATTTTAAGCCACTTTCTCCTCATGCAATGTTCTCTGTCACAGATAAGTTTGCTAATGCTGAGTGTTTTAGGAGCTTTTCCTGGATTAGGAGGCCTTTTTAAATATACCACCAAGCACAAAACAGTGTTCTTTACATCTTCCTTCTTGCTTTCTGTCTTGGAGAGAGAAAAAAACACTGAAGTTTACTGTTGAGAAATTCTCTCTGTTTAAATAATTTTAAATTAAAAATGTCTTTTGCCCTCCTGTCCATACTTGTATATTATGATATAATACCTGGTAGCAAGGCATCTAAATTAAGAAATTGGAAATGGAACAGCTCAGCTTCTTCATCTTCATAAGGTCCCACTCTGTACAGGAGATAGGAGAGATACCAGCAATGAAAGGCTTGGGAGTCTATCATTTATAAGCTTGCTTATCCTCCCAGAAAAGCCTGAAACCAGATAGAAACTATGATATTAGAGTGAAAGTTGTTGGTATAAGTGGAATTCAGTTCTTATTAGCTTTCCTTTAGGTAGAGTCTGGGCCCCAGGCGTATCCTACATGTATCTCAGAAGAAACCAGGCCTCTAGTAAAGTCCTGTAAGCCACATTGTGGGGCTTCCCCATGGCTTGGTTTAGGCAGTAAGTCGGCCTGTCACCTAATGGTCTCTTCTGGCATGGAAATTTGAATCTGTGACCCATGATGTATAAGAAGGGAAGCTGGAGTTTTTCAGGCTTAYGTGAAGATGGTATAGGCTACTGTGACGCAATGACAAAGGAAAGCTGAAATGGTATTTGGAGTTTCAATCCTACATCTGTGTGTGTCAGTGTGAAGAGAATGATATGTCGTGATTAAAGGAAAAAGGTACATTCTGGGTGCTTGTTGTAGTCCATTTCTTCAACGTGGCTATTAAGTAAGATTTGTTTCTGTCTTTTCCAGCTAATGTCCTGATCTTTCTGGCATCTGTTTTCTTTAGGCTATGAACTGGTGTCCTTGGCAGTCCAAAATCCTTGCTACAGGAGGTGGAATGAAAGATGGTATCTTGCGTGTCTGGGACCTAAATCATGAGAAAATCATCCAAAGTGCAGCTACAGATTCTCAGGTGAAATGATGAAATGTCTGCATATTTAGACTATGGTCCTCTTGTWTAGCATGTTACTTTGGCAAACTCCCACTGACTTTGAGGGCAGCCCTGTAGAGAAAGGAACAGCAGGATTTTCTCTGGAGAAACATCTGTGCTACATTTCAGCACTGCAGTGTGTGATTTGTGACTGGACTCGGAAGCAGTCTGTTGTTTCTCATTGACCCCTCTGTCTCAAGTGGTTGAAGAGAAGGTGGTCTCACAGCCAGACACTTTTCATCATCTTTTCCCTATTGGCAGTCATGGTTTTGGCCAAATCTCAAACAAGGAGAGATTGTTGTGGAAGAGGCAAAATTCCCAGAGTGCTGGGGTGGGGAGAGGTGCACGTCAGAGGGCAAGCCTCAGTCTGTGGAGTTTGGAGCCAGAGGATAAGAATCTCAGCTGAAGCAAAGCAGCATAACTATTGTTGATTCTTTTGGATCTATGCTGACTTACTCAGCTGAGGATCTGTCTGTGGAGCTCCAGTTTTATACTGGTAGGCTGCAGTTGTGTTTAACGAGGACAGTGATGCAGCTATGAAGTGTTGTCAGAAATGAGATGAGCCTTCTAGATGAATAAATTTTATGCTGGGGCTATTTATCAGTATCTGGTTTAAGCATTGCACATATCATTGCAGATTTCAAATCAACTGAGTGGTGTTTGTAGACTTTTTGAGATCTAAAGCAGATTTTTAAATTGCAATAGATTTGTTCCTTGCTCTGGTTACCCAAAACTGAGGAACTGATGACTGGACAAGGCCTTCCTGGAAATCAGATGATAATATGGAAGTATCCTATGCTTATCAATTCATCACAGCTCTATGGCAAGTATTTCACTTAAGTATTAGTTATTTCAGTTAACTTTCTCCCTAATCAGTATGATTTTGCAAGTACATACATTATGCATTTAAGTAAAATGAAGTTAAAAAAGCACCACCCAGACATCCTCTCTCTAGCCGTGATGCACAGGATTGGAAATGTCAACTTTTTAAGTATTTTATAAACAGTCTTTGTAAAATGCCTTGTGTTTTAATTACAGAATTCTCTCCTGTTATTTCTAAGGCCATACCAGGTGCCAGATGTGGAGTTCTTCCTTTCCCTAAGGCTTGCTAGAGCTGGCCTGAGTGTGCTCATGTCAAGTTGCTTCCATACATTCTAGATAGATTGCCTCCTAGATGGCACAACCTGGATGTGACTCATGGACAAGATTATACCCAAAGAAGATTTTGATTTTGCCCCTAAAAAAATGATATTTACAAATACTTTTTTTGCATTCCACTGAGACATTTGAAGGCACTGATTACATTTTTAATATATGCTGTTAATATATGCATATGTTTAATACATACTGGGATGCTGTTCTGGTAAGCTAGGAATTGGCTTTAACCCTAGCCTATAAGGGGAAAGCATAGAAGACTTAATACTAAGATGGAAGAAAGAGGTCATGTAGATTATACATTATGCCTTGCAGTTAAAGCCTGGCCTCTAATATGAAAAATAAAATGCTTCAATTCCTTCATAATGTGAAAATACTCTAAATAAGGCAGGATGCAGTGAAAAAAATGGTCTTATCCAGCACACTTGGCTACTGCAGGGGAAATAGAACCAGCCAACCATGGGTGGGTGATCGTGAAAGTGCACCGCGTTCTCAGTGTAAAATTGTGACACATCTTTGAGTATTTTGTTTGTGTGTTTTATTTTGCAGGTCACAAAGGGAGAGTGCTGCATGTCGCCCTGAGCCCAGATGAGAGCAGGCTTTTTTCTGTGGCAGCTGATGGGACAGCTTGTGTGTGGAAATGCCACTAGTCTGGAGAGGGCAGCCACACCCTCACCCTGCCACACAGCAGGGCTCTTTCTAATGGTTATGTGAGCTCATTCTTGTGACTTCTTTTCCTTGAAAGCAAGAAAAGAAGTGTATTTGGCCTATTTAGGAGTATATATACTCCTTCTAAATGAAACATGGCAAAAAACAGCATCAAGTTTTCATGAGAAAGTAACTTTCCATATCAGTCTGCAGTCTTGTAGAATGCTAGTAGCTTGTCTGTTCCATGGTAGAAGAAAAATATCATAACTCTGAAGAATAATATATTTTCATTAAGTTAACATGCATGTGTGGAGTACAACCTATGTCAAGTGTCAACATGAAGTCTTAGGTCCTCCTTTTAGCTGTGATTCTTTTAAGTAGTTTTATGTTATTGTAGTATTTCCATTGGGACATATATTCCTGTCAGGTAAGTAACCTTGAATCATTCAAGGGTTAGGACCAACAGAGACCAGCCCAGGGAACTGAATCATTCTGAACATCACATAGATGATAAATACATAACTAAATACATAACTCACATGAAAGAYAAATATTTTCTTTGGAATTACTTATTGTCTTTGTAGCAGCAGTGAGAACTAGGTGTATTAGAAAACTGGCTTTCACTGGATTTTGAGTTGTTTCCTTAAGCTCACCTCTTGTGCATGATAGATATTTGAAAATATAAATACGTATGTAATAATTCTGTTACTGCATAATTTTATGCAATCAACTAGTTAATAAGTGCAGTAACCAGAGTCAGAGGTGTTGTGTGTGGGTGAAACACAACAGTTTGGTCACTTACCTCATAYGGGTACCAGTTCCAATCCAGATGTCAGCAAATTTGGCAGCTGGCACTCTCTAGGAATTTTATGTAGGAACTGTTCCTAAGGGCCAGCCCCCTTGGACTTTCATGAGAGTTTGTCTGAGTAAGACCCGTGTGCTGCCAGCAGCTAAGTATGGCTGTTGGGAGTCATCTTCACGTGCAATTGGGATGAATCTCAGTGGTGCTGAGACATCTTTGGGAGCTTTGCTTTCACTGTTGGAGAGGAGGACCTAGGAAAGATTTATTCACTGCATTTGTATATTAAAAGTCCTTTGAGCTCAAACTCATGTTGCTTGGATTACTTTATTTTATTTTATTTTATTTTATTTTATTTTATTTTATTTTATTTTATTTTATTTTATTTTATTTTATTTTATTTTATTTTATTTTATTTTAT